TTGTATTGGCAATGTTGAAGTGACGAACAGAAGTGTCTGCAAAACCTAATGAAGTCTAGTAAGCATTTGGCAAAGATAACAGGATACCAATCACAGCAGCTTTTGGCTCTGAAGATTCACCATGGTTTGGTCTGTGTCGAGACATGTCCAAAATGCTCAATGTAATCTCTTCTGCCTTACTCAGCATGTGATTACATTACTCCTTTGTTGTACATAAAAATCCTCTGCTATTTTGTATAACTTTTTCCACTGAGTACTTAAATAAGAAGGCAACGAGTTTCTTGGAAGAAAGCACTCAAGAATGGCCCATATAGATAAGACATGGATGTTAAAATATACTTTTCCAAAGTATGGTTTATCAGAACTGATTCATTAGAATGTATTCAGACAACTAAGGCTATTACCAGGGATAACAACAGTATATTCCACTGCTTTCCCAAATCTCTTCCCTTGCATGTAAGAATTAAATAAAACAAAACAAGATAATGCCTATTTCATAGAAATTAGGTTTTGAGTTAGAAGAATGCATATCAAGTCCAGCTGTCCACTTCTAAACAAATTCATTAGCCCAATATGTGCAGAACCACCATGTCATATCCATGACCTTAATTCTGAAAGTATCAAATAAAGGTAAATAGTAGAAACACGATGTGGTGATACCCACTATATACTAGATTCTGGTTTGCCTCATTTGTATTTATTGCATTATCTAAAACTGCTGAAAAATAAGTTGAACAGTCAGTATTAAAAATATAAGCATTCAGCATTCTTAAGAGAAACCAGCTGTGAACCTACTTGGCTAGTAACCAAACATGCAGTAAAAGAAAATGCCTGCTACTAATCTTAGAAGGCTAATTGTGAAGCCTGGATAATAGTATAAACTCAGATAGGAGGACTGGACACAGCAGTAGAGGAACAGCTGTTTCTTTTGTAGCCTCAAAGGGTCTGAGCTGTTTGAAAGTTACTGTAACATGACACTAGACAAAAAAGAATTCAGCAAGTTTGTGCAGTGTGGGAGGAATTGTTTCCTGCCTTTGCCTATGACCCACAGTAACACCACTGAGCAGGGGTTACTATCGGACAAGCAAATGCCATACGAGTAACTTGCTACAGGTAGCTTAGTTTACCCCACTTGCAGCACTAAGTTTTCATGCAGTTAACTATATTCTTATTGCTTGGTATTAGCCACACAATATTTACAATACTCTAAGTTTTATTATTTTTAAAATAAAAAAGTAAAGCTCCCCTCAAGCACCACTGAAATCTTAAAACAACTCAGAAAAGTCAACCTAAGAATACCAGAAGATGCAAGAAATAGAACTAATGTGCAGTTGATTTTAAGGTACAGAAAGTTGAAAGCAAAATGCTGAATTAGCTTTACTTACAATCATCTTTAGCTTACCGTGTCTGTTCTTGTAAGATAAGATGCGGCTCTACAAAGAATTTGACCCGTAATTTCAATCGATAAGGGGCTAAACCATCCATCTGCTGGGAGATCCTGTTCCTCAAATTGAGCCACAGATTTTCTCCTTTACTACCAGTGAATTGCAGTCCAAAATAATCGACTTCTATAATTCCTAATCTTCTGCAAACCTGAAAAAAGAGGTTCTGTATAATCAATCTGCAACATGACTAGACCAAAAATAGCTGAATCAAATACTGCTTGACTGCTACACACTTAAAGCACAATAACTCCTTTATAGAAAAAAATTAATGACTCAGACCTGAAACAAGCTGTGTTCAAAATGGCATACAAACAGACTAAGAACTAAACTAGGGATTTCTGTACTGGCTGAAAACCACATGAATTTGTAGACGCATTTAGCTCCCTCCAACCTCTCCCAAACATACACTTAAGACGACCAGTGAATTTCCAAAGGAAAACAATATCTGCAATTCACCACTTTCTAGGGAAGAAGGGAAAAAAAAGATACAGCCCACAAATTTTATTTAGATGCCTCCAACAGACTGGGCAGCTATGTTTGACTGCCTCCCACACCCCACAGCAGGGGCTGCCCCCCGCAGTGTTGGGAAGGAGGCTACCGAGGAGTGAGGGGCAAGGACACCGAGGCGACAACCTCAGCTGCTAGGGAGCCAAGGAGGCTACAGGGGGGCGGTATCTACTGGGGAACCCCAGGCAGGGCGGTCGCACTCGTGCCCCCCTCCCCACAAGAGGAGGGCGCAGACCCCCCCCCGCCCCAAGCTGCAATAATGAGGCCAAGGCCTTCCCTCCTCCACCTTTTCCACCCCGTGGAGGTGGAAGGGCAACAGCAGTGCTGAAGACCCCCGAAAAGGTGAACGCGGCAACCTCTGCATCCAGTATGAAGAAGAAAAAAGAAAGAAAAGGGGCCAAAAAAAAAAAAAAACACCACACATGCACAAA